GCATCTCTGTTCATCAGCATTGAAGTAGAGCCTTCACTCCTTGAGGGAGCCATTGGCTGCTACTGTTCATAGGCAGCATGAGAGTGACATAGTTTCATAGCAATGATGTAAGCAGCATTAAATTAAAGTTGTATTAGAGAATTGCAGAAGCAAGATCTATACCGTTTCTGAACAAATGACTCCTGAGGAGTCATGGCATGGTGGGTAATGAGTGTCGCTCCCTTCTTTTCACAGTGGGAGATAGGGAATTGACCAGGAACAGACCGTTTGATAAGAAAGAATACAAAGAGGGTTCCTGAATCTGAACGGGAAGAGATGATGACTGGACACAACACAGAATTTTCATGTGCAGGAGGAACTGACATATATGATCGCTCAAGTTCTTCTCTAAGTCTTCACCAATAAATCCCTATACCTCACATGAGCCCATACATTTTGTAATTCATTTTAAAATAAAATTGTTTTTATAGATGAGAGCCCTACAGAAATACTTACTTAGTGTCCACACTCACAAGTGGTGGCCTGCTAAAGGCTGATCAGACTGACAAAAATTGTGCTGAAGGAGACATGGCCACTGTGCTCTGGCACAGAACCGTGCTGTTTGGCCAGAGTTCTGCTGTCCAACAGTCTGTTCTGTTAGGATAACATCTTTTCACCAGTGGTGCTTTGGCCCTTTTTGAAAATAAATCCCTGATGGACTGCCCTAGCAGGGATGCTCTCCGGGCATGTTTGTACATAGCTGAGTTTACAAAAACAAGTGGTCGACAGTGTAATGGAATGTCAGTGATTCCTGCTTTATTAAACTGCCTGTATTGATGCGTGCTCAGGACTGAATGAAGAAGGTAAGGTAGAACAAAGAGAATCAGGAGCAAGGGAAAAGGAGAGGGAATTGGAGATCCATTGCAGAAGTTAGCCTAACGGAATAGATGGCTCAGTGAATGAATTTAGGTAAAGGGATATGGGTCTATGCCAATTTTGAATACAGCATAAATCCTGTCATTCCTCTATTCCTCCACATATATAATTCCTCATTGTTCTCAGGAAGCTTCATTCCTTACCAAGAGGGAGATGTTAGAATCCATCTCCCTCTTCTCCTAGACAGTAAATACCCTCAGCAATACATTTCCAAAGTGTGAGATATGGTGGCTAAAATAACACAAGGACAATAGGTAGTAGACTTCATTCCAAGGTCAGGTTTAGCCTCTGGTGTGGCCCTTGGTTGAGCTTACCATGCTCAGAGGACTTTGACATGGCAGATTGAAAGTAGTGTAATGAGAATGTGCCTATGTGTTTCCTAGTTGCTAGTATATAATGAGGCTAATGACACAATATGCACTGGTCATATAGCAAGAAACTAAATGCAAAATTTGAATATTAATCTAAATGACAAGGTTTGCCAAAAGTAATTTTTCAACCATTTAAGTAATCTGTAATTTTAGAGTGACATGAATCTAGGGTCCAAAAAGCTCAACAAAGACCCTTATTTGTCACTTCCTTCAAACTTTCAGGATGACCTCCCTCATGAGGCTGAAGATAATAGCCAAGTGAACTTGTCTTCTCTGGAAGAACCAGAGGAAACCTGATGTACTCATGGAGTGTCTCCTAATTTATGTTATCCTGTAGCCTTGGTTGAGAGCCATACTCTTTAAGCTAAAGGCAATGAAGTGTGATTCCCATACAAACCATGTGCTTGCTTTCATTTTCTCCCATCTTCTAATCCAGTCTTTGTATGCCTAATTCATAGTCCAGGGCCCTACTTATTCTTCTGCATTATTCAGCGGGTTACTGTTGAACTCCAATGGGCTGCACATATACACACACCCAAACATTGAGAATAAGATTTAATTTGCACAATTAGCACATGATGTAGGTTTTACATCATGACATAATAGAAATACACACATGCATAAGTATAAGTAAACAAATGTTTGATACACACTAATTATCCTAATACATATAATATATTCTAATATTTTCTATTTTCTTTATAATACTAATTTTTAAGAACTGATTCAATGATCTAATAATAGGCTTCACCCTGCAGTTTAAATCCATTTTGCCCTACATCTAATTTGCAGATTGTAGCCTGGAATCCAACAGCACATAATCAATGAAATTCATTACAGAATTATCTGCCCTGCAGGCCTACCACTCAGTTTTTTTTTTCTTTTTTCTTCTTTTTGTTCCAAGTGAAATAATTGTGCCAAGTATTTGACAGTTTTCTGTTATTGTCTGAACACAAAAGAAAAGAATATATGCTCACTTTCAAATAAATCTAAGCATGAAGGGCTTCTTCTTCCAGAAAGATAAATACACACACATGGGTGGAGAAAAGGGCGTGGAAGAATGAATCCCAAATTTATAATAGTGATTATCTCAAGAGAGTAAGATTGAGGAAAGACACAGAAAAGGTGAAGGGTTTGAGGGACTATCACTTTTTACATTATGCATTTATGTGTTATTGTTTATAATAGACTTGTATTATTGTTCTGATTTTAAGTTGATATGTTCAGTTTTAGAATCTGAAAAGTATAAAGACACATATTTTAATTTCCATTTCCCCATCATCCTGAGAAAATCAATAAAAAGAATTTGATATATTTTCTCTTAATTTTTTTCTTCTATGAACACACACAAACACACAGGGATATAATTATAGAGAATTTAGATTTTTGTCCTTTTTCACTTAGCGTTACACTAAAGGATGTTTAAGTCGCTAAAAATTCTTCAAAAACAATTTTTCATATTGTTTATAGTTCATCAAATGGGTAGTTTATAAAATAGAAAACTAACCATTTATTATTAAGATTATTCTGGTATTATATACTAAAGAGGAAGATGTACATACCTGTTTTAGACTGTATTTGTTCTCCCCCAAAATTCATATGTTGAAGCGCTAATAGCAATGGAATGAAATTAGTAGGTAGGGCCTTTGGGGGATAATAAGGTCCTGAAGGTGGAGCACTCATGATGGGATTAGTGCCCTAACAAAAGAGGCTTACTAGTTCAACTGACTCTCCCCATTCCTCTTTTAAATGCACAGGCTGGTGGCCCAAGGCTACAGATTCCTAGACTGTTTCATAGAAGTCTATTAACCCCTAATTTATCTGAATAATATCTACTGATAGACTTCAACTATAGCTAACTGAAATGTATATCATTTTGTCTATTGGAAAATGCATTTTGAGTAGCCGATTACACATATTTCAGCCTTTCGAAAGCAGTAGTTCCACCTAGCAGTGACATTTGGGGACAGAAAGGAAGAAAGATACATTAGTAACTTATAAACTTGGTACCTATGCATAAGTCATGCCACCAAACTCCAACAGTTAGAAGAGGGCCAGACACCAAAGAGTACATACTTTATGATTTAATTAACATGAAATTCTAGTAAATTAATACAAAGTGAAAAAAATCAGAAGAGTGATCATCTTGGGAGATAGCACGTGGTTCACTGAGAAGAGGCATGAGTGAATTTTAAATGTGTACAGAGAGCATTTACTCTGGGAAACAGGGACTTCATACCAACAGTACTGTTTTACATTTAGAAGAATGGTAGAAAGGAAGAAAGAAAACTGGGCACAGCTCTATTTGTCTGTTTTTCTAGTCTGAACTCACCTCAGACAAAAGATTGTTGTCTATTGCAATGTTTTACTTCCTGGAGGGAAAGTTAGAACATGAATAAAGAATGATTTTTTTGTTCTATGAAAGACCATGGTCTGGCCAATGGATATCCCTCAGTGACTAACAATGGACCTTCCTCTTAGCTATTTGAAAGCCAGGAAAGCAGGAGAGAATAACAACACCACTACTGACAGGGCCACAGAATAGCTCTGAACACAGTTCCATTCGGGTGCACCTTTTGGAAAACCTAGGTAATCTGACCCTCTCCATCTCTCTCAAAGATTAGAATAGTTAATTTCATAATAACAGTAACAATAACTGCAACTCTTTATAGAGCTTTGCGTTTGCAGCAGGGAACAGAATATATCTATATGGATTATCTCATTTGACCTTTCTGACAATGCTGTATGGGAAATCCTGTTATTATCCACATTTTTAAAACTGGAAAGATGATGCTCAGCTAGTTAAAATAAGTAGCCCAAGATTGCCTAGCTAACAAGAGGTAGAACCTGGATTCCAACCCATGCAATCTGACTCCAGAGTACACAATATTTACTATTGATAAGTAAATTGATTAATGCACTATAGGGAACAGAAGGGAATATCAGCAAAATAAGAGTCTCCTTCCTTATAGTCATTATCGGCCAGTCAGCTAAAAGATGGATTTTAGTCCAAATCTGCCCAGCTAGCCAATGTCTCCCAAAGAAGATGAACACAAAAGCAGTGTGACTACTGTTCTGAAAAACCAGAAGAGGCCTTTTTAAAGCACAGGATTCAAAATCGGGATCAACAAGAGCTCTGCATTTTTTCAGGAAAAGGGGGAAGGAAGAGTAAAAGGTCAGGCCTAAATTTTTAGAGAACATTCCTCTTTATTTTAGAACATTATCATTTTTGCTTAGAGTTTCATGAGTGAAGGAGATTAACGTGTACCATTTCATATTCCTACCGCTTTTATCAGATGTGAATTACAAGAATTTAAATGCCTCATATAGTATATATTGGATCAGTTTATTTTACTACTTCGATGTTTTCATTATGTGCAAATTCAGACACATTTGCTTCCTGTCACTGCAAAGGAACTTTAATAGAAGCAAAACAGACATGCATGTGTATAAATGTTCTTATAGTATAAATATATATATCTCTGTTATCAAAATACAGACTGCTGACTGTATTAAACCTATTGTCATTAAACAAAATGTTCCATGATCCCTAAATGGATAAATAATAACAAGAATAAATTTTTTTGTGCGAGACTGAACTCCATGTTTATCAACTTGAGACTCGTTTTCCAAGATCAAATGCACCAAAATAGTCCAAAATGGATAATGGCGTGATCAGCCAGATGGCCTTGGGCAAGTCACTGAAATTCTTACCTTAGGACACAGGAGTTGAGGTCAAGGATCCAACTCTGAGTTCCCCTTCTTCCTAAGATTGTCCAGCTCTCTGCTGCTGTGTGGGTGGGGTGAGTAGAGTGAAAGAGTCTCTCCACTCCTCATTCCCTCCCCCATGAAGCCACCTTCAGAATGGTGGAGGCTGAGTGAAGTCAGACAGTTGATGTCTTTGATAGTTTGCTCCTAATGTTGTATCTGAGGTTTAAAAGTCATCAGACATTCAAGATATGTATTCCAAAGCCCTGTGAAGCTTGACTTGTTTGGTAAATCTTATTTTAAAGAATATCAGTTGAATGGCAATAGGAAAAAACATTACGGGGAGCTCCAAATGATGGGAATAAATGGGCTCTGTACTCGGCTGCAGCTGCAACAGAGGGCTGGCCTTGATGAGTAGAAACGCATGGAGCGCTGAGCAGGGCCAGGAATTTCCCGAAATGAAACCTGAGAACTACTGAAGCTGACCTTCTCTCTCAGAACAGCTGACCCTTAAGAAATAAGAGATGACACGTCCCAAAGCACACTAAACTTTTACAACAGCAGCTCAAAAAACAGACAGAAAAGGCTGGAAAATGCATGGGAGCCCTCTTGCAATGCTGGCGGAATAAACTGGTTGACCTGACTGCCTTCTGTTGAGGAAATAAACAAAGAGATTATTTCAGAATCCTTTATGCTGGGGCGCTGTAGAATGCGCAGTTCCCAGAAAACAGATTTATCTGTCGATTATAATCAAGCTTCCTACATGTCAGTCAGGGATACAGTGACATAAAACAGAATGCTGGGGACTGGATTTAGAAAAGCTGATCTTAAAACAAGAAATGCACTGGGGAGAAAGATGGAAATGTTTGGAGAAATATACATAAGCAAGCACAGAATGGATGGGGAAATATGTTCTTTTTCAATAACAATAGCCTCCTCAATAGTGTTTTCCAGAAAATTGAAGAAAGAATTTTCTTAGCAGGGAAATCATGTAAGTGGAGTCACCTCCTGGGTAAATGTATAAAGATACACCTTAAAAGGTTCCTCTAGAGTAGGTTTCCCTGGTGGAAAGTGAGGCTGTTGTGAGGTATAGTCCCTCAGATCATCCACTTCCATCTGACCTCATATAATGTGACTTAGGGGGAGGAGCAGAGTGGCACCCAGAAACCCCTGTCCTGAGTGTAAGGCTCCTCTTCCAGTGATGATTGTGTCGAGTCCCTTAGCTTCGTCGTGTTGGATCCTTATAACCTGCACCTAAGTAATTTTGAAAGCCATGTCTCATGTTCACAGGCCTGAAAGAAGTAAGAGAAGTCCCAAGCACCGTCTGGTGCAAAGTGCTGGGGAAGGTGGGGCTCCATGATTATCCCATTGAGAAGGACCTTAGAAGCCATCCAGGCCCTTCGCTTCAATGTGTTGGCTTGAGCACTGTGTTCTTTGTAAAGTAAAAATCAGAGAAAATAAAGATCAGAGATAGCAGTGATTCTATATCACAAATAGGATGTTTCAGATGTGATGATTTTAATTAACTTGTTTGTACTGAATATAAAGACACAAATAAATGAATGGCAGAACTTGGAGCTGTCTGTGACCAATATCAACTTCTCCCATTCTCTCGATCCCACTGCAGTCAGTCTTTGGCCCCAGCCCCAACCTTACAACAGGCTCTCACAGTCCTGGTGCCAAACCCACACTCAGTTCTCCATCTTCATCGTCCTGGACTCATGCGCAGCATGTGGCGGAGCCGATCACTCCTTCCTTGAAGCACCTTCTTCCCTTAGACCTGGAACATCCATCTCTCTTACTTCTCTTGCCTCACTGGCTGGTCCTTATCATCCCTTCACCCTTCATCTGTCCAGTATCTAAATATTGAAGTGAATTTATAAAAGCTCTCAGTAATTCATTGTACAGGATCTCAGTAATTCATCAATTTAAGGATACATGAAGAAAATCGTTAATTCTATGTGAATTGGGTATCCTGGGGAATACATTTCTTAACAGGGGTGCCTCTCAGCAGCTGCATCTGAAAATACCAGTCCTGGGTGGACTCTGCTCCCTTAAGTCTGCAGGGAAGAGGCAGCTACCCTGCTCTCATTATTCTGCCACATAGAGAGCAGAGCAGTCTCTCTCCGGAGCCCTTCATCTTACTCAAATGCTGTGGATTTACTCAGGGCTGTCACCTAGTCTGGAAGCATAGGCAAATGGTTGCCATGGTGAAGTGACTAAATAATGCCTGTGGTTGAGGGACTAGGAGAAGGTTGTCCAGAGTGCTTCCATCAGGAGGGAGCATCACGCACGGAGACTCACGGCAAAACCGCGTGGTGCCCCAGGCTTGCAGCAGCTCTGCACAGCCCACTGGACTCTATGTTGTGAATGAGGGATGACACAGTGAACACATTGCATTTTAGATGGTAATATCCACAAAGAACTTATCATGTGCATTCTCATAAGTTTTCAAGACTTTACTGTCACCCTATATCTATAGACTGAACGTTTGTATCCCCTCCAAACCCACATGCTGACATCTTAATCCCCAGTATAAACATATTTGGAGATGGCCCTTTGGAGTGATTAGGTCAGAGAGTGGCACCCTCCGGAAGGGGATCCATGCCCTTATGGAGGACACCCAGTGCACTTTTCGCCAGGTGAAGAAAGCAAGAACGCAGCTGCCTGTGAGCAGGAAGCAGGCCCTCTCCAGACACTGAGTCTGTTGGCTCCTTGATCTTGGACTTCCCAGCCTCCAGACTGTGGGAAATAAATTTCTGTTGATTACAAGCCACCCAGTCTGTGGTATTTTGTAGTAGCCCATACAAAGTAAGGCTGCAGAGAATCGTTTTCCATTGAATATGGTATGCGATGTGTGCTGACCTGTTCTGGTCCTCCAGTTCAAAACACTACCCACAGTATGAGCAGAGGTCCTTAGCTCCTGAAAAACGAAGGTGGTTTTGATCTCTACAAAACTGCCCAGATAATGAACAGGGAAATGAATTAATCCTTGCTGTACACGAGGCATGGTCCTGGAGACTTTCAAACATCCACTCCAACTCACTCACTTAATCCTCATTACAACCATATACTGTGGGTACTAACACCTTTTCAGCTCCAGTGGGCTAATGAACTGGGAATGAAACTCATTTCCTCAGCTCCTAAAATTAATTGTCCCTCCTCTATGCCACAGTATGTATTTCACTTTCACAAATGAGTTAACAGGGATGCTAAGAAGTTGAAAAGTTTGCCTTAAATTACAAAGGTCATCTATGGCAAGGAGCTGAAATTCAGACCTGGATCTTTTTGGCTTTGGAGTCCATGTTCTTTCCACTATACAGCAGAGCAGTTATATATCCTTTTTATACCAGGAATAAAGAGAAAGGTGTAATAAAGTCAAGAGGAAGTTTGGGGTCTGAGTCTTTATGACAGTAAAGAAAATGAGCAGATTTCTGGACATTCACTGCCCTGCATTTCTATAGTGTTGACCAGTTGGCTTGACATCATCCCAGAATTAGGACCATATTGAAGTTGAAATCACTGCAGTTATTTCCAAGGAAGAAGTGTGCTGTTAGTAAGGTGAGGGCCGGGGCTCTAGACTGCCCAGATTGTCTCTGTTCTGGAGCCAAGCTGCAAAGTTCTGCCACCCAGTCAACCTTGGGACTTGCCCTGGTGGTCACAGGTGGGGCCCAGGGAGGAAGCACAGTCAGTACACTGCTAGCCCTGCCGGAGGAACAAAGTTCCAGCACATGGCCTCTGGTTGGTAGGCCAGACCTGGAAGTGAACTCAGCTGGAGACACACAACAGGAGCCTTAGGCCACAGAACCTAATTTATAGCAGGGCTGAAAGTGATCAGTCCTTTGCTTCAAAAACAGTAAGTCCTCACACCAAATTTCTTACAATTTGGACTTTTCTTAATGGTAAATTACTTCAAAGAAGTACTTTTAAAAAGAGCTAACGTTTTAAGTCTAGTAGAAGAAGTGTCTGTTCTCTCTTTAGCTATTATCACACTATTTAATGAGATGAATGTTGTCATAGAATGGAGGGTACAGTGGGGTACAAGCCTTTATTTTTACATATTCATGAAAATTACAAGTAACATTTCTCAAAAAATTGCAACAAAACACTGCAGCAAATACTACACAAAATTGTTTTCCTTTTAGGGAGGGGAGCTGGGAAGGTAATGTATCCCTTGGAGGATTTCATTTGGAGAACACAAGCAAGTCTGCCTGCAGTTATTTCCAGGTGCTTGTGATTAGACCAGCTCATTCTTCTGCCCTAAAAAGGTCTGGTCCCTGAGACAGATGACTGGCCCTCTAGGTTAGATTTCCCGGCAGTGGAAAGCTTAGGAGAGCCCTGGGTACTTCTGCACACCCAGTGCACGTGAGGCCAGCATCTCTCAACTGTTTTCTAAGATAAGTATTAGCTACCCGTTCTGGAAATCAGGGTTGTTTCAGTTCTTATATTCTATTGCCGAATGTACATGGCCCTTGCTTCCTGCTTTTCCTTCTTAATACACCTATTTGCACAGGCCCATTGACAGCCAAGAGTTGATCTCCACTTTCTGTAGGGGGCTTGGTTGTCCTGTTAAACATTCCAAATGCTGGTGGGAATGGCACATCTACCTTTTCACCTCTGGCCTGCCTGCTATTGTGGTATGGCTGTATTCAATGCTCTGGCTGTCTCTTCCTACCTTGAGTTGCCATCTAAACAGTATCTAGTAATGCTGGAAAGAGTCATTGATTCCATGTAGATCCACAAGAATGAGCAAGTGTGTAAACAAAGAAAAGAAGAATCTCCAGTCTACCAATTGTGTAGTCTAGCAATGCCTTGAAATGTCCCCAAAGTACATAGGAAACATGGCTGCAGACACTGGACTTTGGGTGGAGTGAATTAGTTACCTACTTATCAAAGAAACACACCCTACTTTAGTGCTTGGCACACCTACTATACCTGCTATATATTTCCTGGCTCAGATGCTCTCGGCCAGCTAGAGGGCAGATGGACAAATTTATTTGTGTATGTAGGTGCTGACTCCTTACTCAAGAATAATTGTCTGAACCCTCACTTTAATTAGAAAAAAACGATGAAACTAGTTAGGTTGGGGTCTGTTGCCTTGGTGTAGAAAGGGCAACCTCTTCTTCTGAAATGTGGAAATTGAAGTTAGCTCCTACATGAACTGAATCAAACTGACCACTAGAGCTGAATTACCTGTTTACAAAAAAGTCTTGCTCTTCTAGTCACCTGAAGGGAGAAAAGAAACCCACTCCTGTTATCGTTATCTCTGAGACATCCTTATTCCACAGGGGAAAAAGTGAGGTATTCTCTGCAAAACGAAATGTTCTGAAAGTCACTGAAATGAATCAGATGGGGGTGGGCTGCTGCATGCGGTGCTCAGAAGGAAAAACCAAGCTAGAT